ATCCTCAAATGTATATCAGTCAGTATATGATTTATTTATGTGTCAATAATCCTGTAAAAAAGATTGAAAGTCCTAAAAAATATCTTTGATTTTAGTTTGAATCGAAATGTTTTCTATGTTTACAATAAATTTAAATGCTGAAAGGGATTAGGGCACCAAGTATGGCCTTTTAATCCGGGTTAAATAATCTTAACTTTCAGATAAAAAGTAAAATTATTTTAGATATGAAATCTTTAAACATCTTTTAGTGGGATTTAGTTCAATTAGCATGAGTTGATTCTACACTGCAAAAATAATTTCAAAATGACTAAAAAGAAAATCTCTAAATATGTATTTCACCTTATTTTGAGTAGTTAAATGAGATGATATTCCAGTAGAAAGAGTTTGCCTAAAATAAGATATTAGATAATATGTACTTGAAATGAGACAATGCAATTGTTTTTTCTTATTTTAAATGTAAATAGTCAAAGTGTCTCACTTACCTCCTCAATTCAAGAAAAAAAAATGCATATTATTTTAAGGAAACTTGACTTACTTAGATTTGAAGTTTTTTTTGTCCCATTAATGTTCAAAGGAAAAAAAAGTTTATGAAAATGGATATTTTAAAAAGATGCAACGCTTTGAAAAGCTTCTAATGGTTTTAAGAGAAGCTTCATGTTTTCTCAGATAAATTTGTTTATTATTATATTCTGGATCCGACGTCAGATTTGAATTTATTTTCTGTTTTTTTAAAAGGTTTTTCAAATTTCGCTTTTTTTCACTTCTGTGATTGAAGATGCATTTCTGTTAGCATGCTGGACGTTAGCAACAGCATTTTTATTGGTCAACAAGCGAGCGTTTTTATTCCACCTGTAAAACTTGATCTGAAAAAGAGAAATTTGAAAAAAAAAGTGTGGGAAAAAAGACATTTTTGATGATACATTTTTTCTAAAAGTTTAATTTCTGGACTGCTGCTTTTTCTTTCAAATTTGCAACAATAATGGAACAAAATTCACTCCATACTTGTTAAAATGACCAATGGAACTAAATCAACCAGTGAATCAGCTCCAAACTAACCTGAAATATTAAATGTATAAAAAGCAGATGGATTATGGGTAAAGTTGGATTACCTTTAATCTGCCGCTTCTGAACCACAGTCTGATGCATCAGGGATTCATGTTGCTGTTTCTGTGACCTGCAGCTGCTGAACAGAGATGACGACCATCCAGAGGATCCTGGATCTCCTCACGCCAGGAGCCCGCTGCACCTCGCCGTGAGTCTCTGCTGGTCGGTGCGTTCCTGATTCAAAGCTTCCATTCAGCCTCTAACGGTTTCCCGCTTCTGCTCAGGCGTACCACGGCCACGCCCAGGCTCTGGAGGTGCTGCTGCAGGGGGACGCAGACGTGGATCAGGCAGATGAGGCGGGGAGGACCCCTCTGGCCCTGGCCGCCCTGCGGGGCCACACCGACTGCGTTCACACGCTCCTCAGCCAGGGGGCGTCGCCGCACGCCACCGATCGGCAGTACGGCCGCTCACCTGTGCACCTGGCAGGTAGGGGGTGATTTTCTAGGAGGTTGAAGCCATGATGTTAGCTGGACAGCCGTTAACGCCTGCTGCTCTGCAGTGATGAACGGTCATACCACGTGTGTGCGCCTCCTGCTGGATGAGTCGGACGGAGCGGAGCTCATCGACGCTGCGGACTCCCAGGGACAGTGAGTCGTCTTTCTCTCCTGCTCCTCCTCCAGGTCGCCTGCGTGCTCGCTGCTAACGAAGCGTCGCCGTTCTTCCCTGCAGGACTCCTCTGATGCTGGCGGCGGCTGGCGGTCATGTGGACGCCGTGTCGCTGCTGCTGGAGAGGGAAGCCAACGTGAACCAGGCGGACAGCCACGGCCTCACGGCGCTGCACCTCGGGGTGAGCATCCAACACACGCCTCTCTGCGAGGGGAACCTGAAACCACTCTGACCTGCGCTGTCTGCCCCAGCTGCTGTGTGGTCAGGAGGAGTGCATCCAGTGCCTGCTGGAGCAGGAGGCGTCCGTGCTGCTCGGAGACGCTCGGGGACGCACGGCCATCCACCTGGCCGCCGCTCGGGGACACGCCTCCTGGCTGAGCGAGCTCCTGAGCATCGCCTGCTCAGAGTCGCCGTCTCTGCCGCCACTGATGGACGTCAGCGGATACACACCTCTGCACTGGGCCTGCTACTACGGTCAGTGACATCAGCAGCTCTGGTTTTCATACGTCTTTAAAACGCTCATTAAAAAATCCAAATCAGAGAAAGAATCAGACGCTTTTAATCATAATCAGTCCTGATTGATGCCTCATGTTCTTTCCTCACGCTAACACTCGTTAGGCACTTTTCCTAAGGCGGTTAGTTACTTCCACTCTCACTGGGCCGACTCTCACTGATCAAAAAAAAAGGAAACACATAAACGACGCAATATGACTTCAATTAAATCAAACTTCAGGTTTTTTTTTGTGATTTTGTCGTCAGAACATTCAGCTTTCTACAGATCAAAGTATCCAATGAAAATATTTCATACATTGAGATCCAGGATGTGTTATTTGAGTGTCGGTTTATTTTTTTGATCCGTATATTTAGTATAAAATCAGAGGAAGTACAGCTAGATTTAAATCCCCGACTTTTTGGCGCTCAGCTGCAGAAATCCCGTCGCTCCAACAGGAAAACGAACAATAACAGCTTCAAAATCATTATACTTTGAAGATGTTTTCGTGGCTGGGCTCATCTTTCTATCATAACGGAGAGGAAGTGACCAGGATGCTACAAACGGAGAGTCGCTGCCTAGAACGGAGCGGATTGAGGCGGAGTTATAATGCTAATTTTAGAGTAGCGGTGGTCAACGCAGCGGAGGCATCAAACAACTGTCAGGCAGCAAAGAAATGCGAAATTACAGAATGCAATGTCAGAAGATTAAAAAAAAGACATTGAAAGACCGTCTGAAAAAGGCAAACAGCAACTGAAAAGCTTATCGAAGAATAACAGAGCTGCAGGGTGAGAGAGAGCAGGATTTTCAGCAGATAACAGGAAGGCTCAATGGTTTGCTGCAGAGCTGAAGCGTTTTTATCCTCCTGAGCCTTCAGATACATCATATGGCGTCACATTTATTTCAAAACGCCGCAAACTATTTCTGCGCATGGTTTATCTGCCACTAAAGAAAAGAAAATTAA